GCAGACCAGCTACTTGAAGTGCCATCCACACATTTGCTAGACATTATGTGCATATTGAGGATGCACCAGTGGGAACTGCAGTACTGCAAGCTTCCTCACATGGCCCTTCAGTCTGAGCATTGCTTGTCAATCACCCATGTGTGGAATACACATAGGCACCAACACTCAAAGAAGAAATGGAGGTTATTTATCTGTAGCTGGAACTTCTTTGAGATTTATGGTCCCTGTCTGTGTTCCATTACCTTCCCTCTATCCCCTCTGTTTCGGATCCCATTGGATTTATGGTCATAAGAAGAACTGGAGAGACAATGGCTCACACTACCTCTTGTGCCCTTGGTTGGGAACACGAAATCTACTGTGCATTTGTAGGCCAGCGGACACTGCTTGTTAGAATTTCTGGATTTGGGTATATGGTACACATGCATACCCACATGTGGAATACAGATAAGGACCACACATCTCAAAGACCTTCCAGTTACAGGTAAGTAACCTGCATACATTACATTCTTTCAGAGACACTCAGGCTACTTTATGTTCAATGGGAGTTTATACCCAGTGTCAGACATGCCAGTATGAAGATCAGCAACAATAGCAGCAGTATTTCTGGCAGTCAGCTTATCTGGCTAGACAGCAGGACTTCTCTAGGAAGAGAAATAACTCACAAACGAGAAGGTCTTCTGATTCAAATTTCAATCTGCCTGCCCATTCTCCATCAGCTTTGGGCATGCAATCAACTTGACTCTCCTGTTGAGGACAGCATTCCTGTTGTGATTATCCCCATGATATTTCCTCCATTTGGGGGCAGGCTCTCCCACTCCTACAGTGCTTGGGAACCAATAACCATGTACAAGTGGGTCTTAAACACTTTGGATTGGGTTATGCCATCCAATTTTTGTCTATCCCCACCTCCCACCACCCTACCCCATCTTTTTTTCAGAGACCCCTCTCATAAGTCACTGCTCCTGCAGATCCAGACTCTTTGTTTCACAAGCTATAGAGGAAGTTCCCCTTCAGAATCAGGGAAAGGGCTTCTATTCTCATTAGTTCTAGATCCCTAAGTCAAAGGGAGAGGTGAGACCCATTCTGGATCTTCAAGGCCTCAACACATACATCAGATATCAGATTCAAACCTTGGCTATAATTGTCCCCCCATTAGCATATGACTGGTTTGCTGCCATCAGTCTTTAGGATGCCTACTTTCTTGTGGCAGTTTTCCCAAGCAACAGGAAGTTTCTGAGATTTGTAGTAGCATGTCAATATTATCAATACACAGTTCTTCCCTTTGGCCTATCATCAGCCCCACGTGTGTTCATCAAATGCATGACAGTAGTGGCAGCCTCTCTCAGCAGGATGAGAATTCATGTCTTTCCTCACCTGGATGATTGGTTACTGAGGCACAAGTCTGAAGCGCAAGTGTAGTAACCCTGGCCCTAGCACTAGCACCTGCTCCAGTTTCAACCAAGATGGGTAGTATTAGGGCCTGCAGCTATGATGCAGCAGCACAGAATTCTATTCTGGCAAGAGAGACAGCCAATGAGATGGCAGCTCAAGCTGGGGGGGAGGCTCAGGAAGTGCCATAGAAGCAGCTGAAAGACAATTAAAGAAGAAGGAGGCTAAAAGAGAGCAGCGCTGGGTAAAAAGGGGATTTGCCAGAGGAAGCTGTGTTAGAGGAAGCAGGACCTGGAAGGGCCAGGACCAAGGAGCCGGGCGACAAGGGGCCCAGGGTGTATGAACAGTGAGATTGACCACTGGGACGCTAACAGAGGGAATGCAGTTTGGGTGCAGTAGGTCAATGGGTAGGTCCAGGTGAAGAACTCTCATTCACAGGTAAGCCTGTTGGAAAGTGGTCTGGCTCTTTGTAGTGTCAACTGAAGAAGCATTGCCAGGCTGGAGAGAGGTGAAGTTGGGACATGAGAGGTGAATTCAGACTTTGCAGCCAGGGAGAGAAGTAGACGATTCCTTCTCGGGGGACGCAGCATGGTATTGACAAATTTATTTTATTGTGTTGGTAATTTACAGTTTATTATTCTCATAAGTATTTGATGTTACTTCATATTATTTATGTTCTTAACGAATTTCTGGGTTTTCCTTCGTAAAGTTTAAAAATTTAAGGTTTGCCTCTGCCTCTCCTCACAGTAGGCATAGCCTAGCTGAAGCCTGGAACACTGCATTAGTCCTCATTCCTGCCCAGTTCACACTTCATCTCTTTGATTTACTGGGGTTGATTTTGAACAAAAGGAAATCAGTATTAATTCCAGCAGAAATAATCGATAATCACTGGGACCCTACTGGACTCTGAGTTTAAGGACTTTTCTACCAAACTATTGTTTTCAGACAATTCGTCACCTATGTCTGTCCCTCCGGTCTCATGCTTCAACTACTGTTCGTGTTTGTCTGTTGTTACTAGATCGTATGGCTGCAGTAGTACAACATGTGAGATTGCATCTTCATTCTCTTCAATACTTGCTGAAGTTGGTCTGTTTCCCATGTTGTCAGTCGTTGGACAAGCCTGCCTGAGTGCCACTGGCGCTCGTTGAGTCCCTAGAGTGGTGAGCACATCACAGCAATGCATATGAAGGTGTTTCATTTGCCCAGCCTGCACTGACCAGGACTATAGTTACTTATGGCTCCACAATAGGTTGGGGAGCACATCGAGAGACTTTGAAAGGTTAGGGTTTGTGGACAAAATAGGAAGCTCCTTTCATATAAACATCCTGGAGTTTGAGCAATTTACAATGCATGCTGGACCTTTCGAGCTCAGATCAAGGGCACAGTGGTTCACCTGCTTATGGACAATACCACCACAATGTATTATGTGAACAAGCAGGGAGGAGCCTGCTTCAACCAGCACTGTTAGGAAGCAATATAGTTTTGACTCTTTTGCATCAAAGAAGACATCACTTATCCAGCCACACACTTACTGGGGGCTCAGAATCAGTTGGCTGATCCCCTCAGCAGGAATTTCTCCCAGAATCATAAGTGGTCTCTGAAGAGCAGCATTTGGAGCTGCATCTTCAGAGAATGGGACTTTCTGTCTGCCTGATCTGTTTGCTACAAGGGACAACAAGAAGTGCCATCAGTTTTGTTCCAGATCAAGTCTCAATCCAAGATCTTTAACTGACATCTGTGATTGGAATTGGAGATCAGCCCTGATGTATGCTTCCCTCCCAGTCCCTCTCATCTCTCAAGTAATTCTCAGACTGAAGCTAGATCATACCAACCTGATTCTTGTTGCACCAGCTTGGCCAAGACAATGTTGGTTTTCTGACCTTAAAAGTCTATCCGTTCAGTCTCCCAGGTCTCTTCCCCTTCTTTCTGACTTACTGATGCATCCTCTTGGATGCTATATGGTTAGATGAGAAGGAAGGAAGATGTTCAGACCCAGTTCAATGAGTCCTACTTAATAATAGAAAACCCTCTACTAGATCTACCTGTTTTCCAAGCGGAAGCATTTTCAGTTTGAGCACTAGCTCAAGGAGTCCAGCCGATGCTAGCCCACATTCATTTTGAATTACTTGTTACATCTTAAGTCCTCAAGTCTGTCTGTCAGCTCAGTGAAGGTCCACTTAGCGGTGGTTTTGCATTCCACCCTCCAATCCAAGGGAATTCAATTTTTTCTCTTTCCCTGGTAGTTAGATTTCTAAAAGGAGTTGTCTATCTTTTCCCACCTGTAAAGAAATGGTTCCTTTGTGGGAGCTTAACACTGTGCTGGCTTCGCTCATGGGACCTCCATCTGAGCCTTTAGCAACTTGTTCTCTCTCCTTCCTTTGTCAAAAGGCAGATTTCTTATTGCCATAACATCCACAAGGAGAGTAAGTGAACTGCAGACCCTAACGGCAGGGCTGCCCTATACACAGTTTTTCAAAGACAAGTTAGCCTTAAGACCACAACCCAAATTTTTGTCTAAAGTGGTTTCACTCTTTTACCTTAAGCAAATATACTTACCTATATTTTTTTCCTAAGCCTCATTCAAATGCAGATGAACAGCATCTTCATTTGCTGGATGTGAGATGATCCTTGGAGTTCTATGTGTAGAGGACTAAACCATTCAGTCCATCACCTCATCTTTTTGTGTCCTGTGTGGATTGGATGAGAGGTTAAGTGATTTCTGCACAGATGATCTCCAGGTGGATTATTTCTTGCATTTACAGTGGCCTATGGGGTAGCTCAGGCCACACCATCACAGAGACTTGTGGCTCATTCGAGCAGGGCCAAAGCAACTTCAGTTGCATTTCTCAATGACACATCTGTATTGGACATTTTCAGGGCTGCCACCTGGTCTTCACTTCATACTTTCATCACACACTCTGCTATTATAACTGCGTCTAGATCAGGAACAAGGTTTGGAAAAGCAGTTCTACAGTCATTTTTAAGTATACTCCAAACCCAACCTCCTGGTGTTTCTGCTTGAGAGTCACCTGAGTGGAATACACATCATCAACCACTTGAAGAAGAAAAAGCACTTACTTACCTGTACTATAACTGTTGTTCTTTGAGATGTGGGTGCAAACGTATTCCATGACCCACTCTCTCTCCCTTCTGTGTTGGAATCTTGTGTCTGGGATTTTGGTGCAAAGGAACTGAGGAGGTCAGGGTGGCGCTGACCTTAAATAGCGATGGGAGGCGCCAAGAGGCACCAGAAGGCACGTGTGCTGCCCTGACAATTACTTCTAGGCGAAGCTCTCAGGCTTTGATATGCTGGGCCCATACACACGTGAGTGGAATATATATCTGCACCCATGTCTTTAAGAACAACAGTCTCAGTACAGGTAATTTTTTTTCTCTGTTCTGGTTTGGTAAATCTAATGTTGAGATGCTGTGTCATAACACCCACATATATTATTACAGTTTTCATGACTGGAGGGGTGATGGTGGGAGGGAAGCTTTTTTTTTTAATAAGTTGTTATATCACCGTGACTAATGTCTCAGTGTGTATATGTCTTTGATAATGATATATTCCTTCCTTCCTTTCACATTTCCTCCCCGTATCTTCGTTGCAGTACACAGCCAAGAAAGACCTACAGCAGCAGTGATGCCGATACAGGCTCAGAGTTCAGCATGCCTCATTCCTGCAGCTGTGATCATCCCCCACCATTCTGTTGCTTCCCAGCAGCTCCAGCCTCAGCTTTCAAATGCTGCTGCTTACGTCACTCCTGTGAATATCAGCCGATCAAATGTTCCACTAGCTTGTGCAGCAGCTTCTTTAAACTCTTCCAGCATCACCTCTGCATCTTTAGATGGAGACATGAGTGGGAGAGCTGTGAGTGTTCACCTTGGGGCTCCTGCTTCTCCTGAAAATGCTTTAGCAGCTGGTGGGAATACTGCAGTCAGTAAACCAGACAAGGATAACAAGGTGGGCATGGCATTATATTTGCATCCCAGGCAGTGTCTCACTTCTATCACGTGAACTTTTTAAATAGACTTACATTCATGTCTTCGTATGATTTAACAGTAACATACAGTGGGCTTTTATGGAAGATTGAGCAAGTTGGTCATTCATTTGAATAACTGTATGTTAGGGCAAGTCCATACTTGTGAGAATAATTTAGGGTGGTGGGTGCATATTGGAGCAGAGGTGTGATGGGATAAAGAGTAGGATACAGAGTCCAGCAGGATTAGGAAAGAGAATTGCTGCAGGTCAGAGGGATCAGTTGCTCTGTTGTTGGAATTCTTTATATTTTATGTGTTTCTTTCTGGAGCTGTAACCTGATTCCTGGATGCTTCAGGGGACTCTTGCATGGTCAGCAGCTCTAATCAGTGGGCCTCTGTAAGTTGATAGGTGAGCCTGTAAACACAAATTTATGAGAACATAAATTATTTAGTCTAATAAAATAAAGTTAATATTTAATGAAAATCAATATGTATTTAGTGTGTACAATTTCCTTAAAAAAATAAGTCAGAAAGAGTTCAATATTTTATGGCAAAAAAAATATAAAGATCATTTCCCTCATTATGTTAATACCTTAAATGAGAAAATTGACATTTATGAAAAGTTTAATTTCACGATATTTCTGTTGAACAAGAAAAAGATCGTGAACTAAAATGTCAGTTGTAGAAGCATGGCTCTCTTCCAGATTCTGTGTTTAGTAGAGTCTCAATTAATCCATTTTCTTCCCCGTGCACAATTTGCTCCTTGCAGTGTTCTCCAGTACCACTTTCAATTTTAAACTCAAGCTTTCACCTTTCTCCATGGAGTGGTTCTTCCTGCCTATTTGATCTTGCTATTAGGCTGCATTTGAGGAAAAATATATTACATTTTCCTTTGGTTTTTAACTGTAGTATATTATTTGTAGTTTATACCCCTTTTGACCACTTTCTTTAACTCCTAGGTTAAACACTTGTAGACATTTGTCTTGTAACTTTTCCCTCACAGTCACTGCTTTGTCAAGCTATACATAAGTAGTTACTGTAATATTTCCCCACAGGCTAATCTCTGCTACTCTTAATCATTTTTGTTGTTCACCTTTAAATTGAGGTACCCGGTACTGTGCATTCATGTTATTACTTCATTTGCAGCAAACTGAGATTAGGCTGAAATGTCTTTTAGACTGAAGTTTTATTGAGCATCTACTGTTTTGGGAGTTCTCTCATACATACCTAAACTTATTCAGTCAAAGGGTTTATGTAAGAAGATCACTGCCAAACTCTTTAAAAAAGGAAGAAATGCAAAAGCGGTTTGAACAAATCAGTGCTGAAAAGGCTCTGGGGGTTATAGTGGATCACAAATTGAACGAGTCTACAATGCCATGTAGTTGCAAAAATGGCTAACTTCGTTCTGGTGTGTATTAACAAGAGTGCTGTATAAAGTGTTGTTGTTGCCATGTTGTGTTTATTACAAATGCTAAACAGTCTGTTCAAACCTTATATTTAGCAATGACATTTTGACTTAGTGTCCCAGACCTAAAGAAGAGCTCTGTGTAAGCTCAAAAACTTGTCTCTCTCACCAACACAAGTTGGTCCAGTAACCGGAGTGTCGTATTTAAGACATGGGAGGTAATTGTCTCACTTTGCTTGGCCCTGGTAAACCTCAGCTGGAGTACTGTGTCCAGTTCTGAGTGGCACACTTAGGAAAGATGTGGACAAATTGGAGAGAGTCCAGAGGAGAGCAACAATATGAGAAAAGGTTTAGAAAACCTGACCAATCAAGAAAGTTTAAAAAAAGGGGCATGTTTATTTTTGTTAAAAAAAAAGACTGAGGGGGGACCTGTTAGTCTTCAGATATATTAAGGGTTGTTATAAAGAGGATAGTAATCAATTGTTTTCCATGTCCATTGAACATAGGACCTGAAGTAATGGTCTTAATCTACAGCAAGAGAGATTTAGGTTAGATTTTAGGAAAACTTTCTAACTCTAAGGGTAGTTAAGATCTAGAATAGACTGCCAAGGGAGGTTGTGGACTCCCCATAATTGGAGATTCTGTAAGAACCGATTGGACAAACACCTGTCAGGGATGGTCTAGGTTTATTTGGCCCTGCCTCAGTGCAAGAAGCTGCACTTGATGACTTCTTGAGGTCCTTTCTAGCCCTACATTTCTATGATTCTGTAGTCTTCGGGGGTTTCTGTCTGAGCAGGTAAAAAGAATGGTTACAATTCTCCCTTGTAACAAGGACACAAAACACAAACAATTCCCCTCCTGGCAAAATTCTGCTAACCATTCAAGATCTCCTTTGTGGGGAATAAGGGAGGAAAAATTGGAGGCACTCGTCCAAACCACAGGCTGTGGTGCAGATTATCCTCCCTGCTCAGTATCAGAGGAATGTCTCCTCTTTCCCAGGATCCTCCCCTCTGACCAAAACTCTCAGCCTCTAATGGCTATCTCTTAAAGAGCCCTCAGCTGACTTCTCCACCCTGTAAACTCTCTTTTGAAGCATAGTGGTTGGCGTTTAAGGCAATCACTTGGCTGGGTTCATTTTCTCAGATAAGTGAAGGAGTTTAGCCCATTGGTGGTCCTGCTTGAGTGAAGGAAGGTGCATACATTCCTTTGCAGCAGAAGTGTTTTTCTTTTTTGGTTACTAAAAAAACAGTTCTGTATTCTTACAGCAGAAATTAGAAAAAGACATTTCTTTCTCTAGTAACTTTTGCAGCCAAGGGCATTTATTTAATGGAAATAATTTATAACGCTACTTAGTTTGCTAGACTTAATCAAAATGATTACTTTGTGGAGGTCTCAAAGTATCTGTCCTTGTTAACGCAGTCCTCTGAGATCAAAGTGACCGTGTATTTTAAAAAAATGTATTTCAGCTCTTCATTGTCTGCCAAATATCTCTTGTTTTAAAATGACTTTAATTTACACTCTTTATTTTTGCTTAACAGAAAGAAAAAAAAGGTTTGCTCAAGTTGCTTTCTGGAGCATCTACCAAACGCAAGCCCCGAGTGTCACCTCCATCATCACCAACTCTGGAGGTTGAGCAAGCAGCTGCAGAGATGGCCCTGCAGGGCGCAGTAGGGCCTGAGGTTCCATCAGCTGTCAGCCATGGCAGAGCTGGATCCTGTCCTGTGGACAATGAAGTCTCTGCAGCAGCACCAGCACAGGAGACTCTGCATCGGAAAACAAGTTCTTTGGATTCCAGTATTCCTATAGCACCTCCCCCTCGGCAGCCATGTTCCTCATTGGGCCCTGTCCAGAATGAATCCAGGCCTGTTGTTTGTGAAAGGTAAATCATTGCATGTGGCTAAACTGAGACAAACCGGCATCATTCAACAATATTTATTAGAGCTGGCAGAAATTATTCAAAATTTTGATTACATTTTGAAAATTTTTAACAAAAAGATTTGACAGTTTTCATGATTTTTTTTCTGGATTTTTAATGAACTATAAAGCCACTCATAATGTTTTGATTTTTTTAAAAAATTCTTGATATTTTTTTCTCAGTTTATCAACCAGCTCTCATACTTATATATATATTTACTTCCTTTACATTATTTAAAGATTCTGGGACCTGTAAGCACTCAGATACTATAGTGGAGGGCAAAGTATAAAAACCTTGACAGATAACTTATGTATATGGTTAACTTTATCACTCCATCCAATTCTGTGTCCTCCCGCCCTTCTATCCCCCTCCCCCTTCCCTTCTCAGGGATTCTTCTCACTAGCAACTCCTTTTGCAGGAGGTGCAGTCGCTCCTCTCTCTAGAGGCAGTGGAGGAGGTTCCTCAGGAGCACAGGGGGGATGGTTTTTAATCCCAGTATTTCCTAATACCGAAAACCAAAGGCGGCTTCTGGCCCATCCTGGACCTGCAGGAACTCAACAAGTATTTTTAAGAGACTCAAGTTCCACATGGTCTCTCTGGCCTCCATCATTCCCTCATTGGATCCAGCAGACTGGTATGCCGCCCGCAACTTGTAGGACGCATACTTTCATATTGCGATCACTCAGCCCCTCAGGAAGTACCTCAGGTTCATGGTGAACAACACCCACTACCAATTCACAGTCCTCCCGTTCGGCCTCTCGGCCACCTTCGTCAACCTGGGTCTCCTTTTAAACAAAGCAAAGTCCACTCTGTCCCCCTATCCAGAGGATAGAGTCTATAGGGGCAGTATTGGACTTGACCCAGGCCAGGGCATACCTGTTAAGTGAGGTTTCAGCCCCTGACCAATGTCATTCAAGGCCTCAGACAGTTTCCCACCACCATAGCAAGAAGCTGCCTGAAGCTTCTGGGATACATGGCAGCTTGTACCAACATAGTGCAGCATGCCACTCAGACTTCGACCTCTTCAGTCATGGCTGGCATCAGTGTACTGCAAAATGACTGGTGTGACATCAACTTCCTGAACATACAAAGTGACCTTAGCTGGCAACAGTTTTCACTGGGGATGTAAGAGCAGGTCTGACAATTTAGAAAACTGTTGAGGAATTAGTCAGCTCCTGAGGGGAATTGATATCCATAGAGGGAGTCAAGAACCCCATTTGAGGACTGATTGGGAGAAAGTTATTCGAGACAGTGCTGCAGGGGTGAGCCATGAAGGGGTGTCAAATAATTAGCAGAACCAAGATTTTGGCCTCAGTTGGTGGGAATTGAAAATAAAGCTTAATAAATTTGCATGACGTTAACTTCTAATAGCAATATCATCTTTGTCCTTCTGTTTTCCTGCATGTGAGAGGGTGGGACCTTTATCTATTTGGATATAAGATTACTGATTCAGAAAACAGAGGAGTACAGATAATATTGCCAAAAAATCTGGTACAGTTATCTTGGACGTAGACTCGTGTTTTATGGCTAATGAAACATAGCAATAAATTGGGCGGTAGAGAGAAAAGATACAAGAAATATATCTATTTTTCTTGATGCTGGCCTTAGAGATTTAGAAAAGATCAGGAATGTCAATACTGCAGATGAAAAGAGGATAGAAAAAACTGAAGACACAAAAATATTTCACAAATACGAAGTGCCATGAAGACTGTGAAATGGAACAAGCCCTTTTAAGGACTTTGAGGGGAAATGTGTTACAGGTTGCATATTTCTGGGAAGTTTAAAAGATTTTTCATTATTGCCTAATTAAGAGAATGAAGACGACATTCCAGAAATAGATACATTTCCTTTCCTTTTTTTTTTCCCGACCCGCTTAGGGAAATTTAACAAAGAAATGGGTTGGGAAGGGAAGCAGGGGACAGTGTTTAAAGAGCAAATTAAGTCAGGTCCCAGGACCAGATTGCTCATATTCCAAAATTCTAATGATAGTAGAGAACAAACTAAAACACATCAGACCCTTCATTCACAACAGAAGAGATACTCACAGGCTGAACGCAAACTAATATAACAGCCATAATTTAAAACGGGATCAATGGAGACCTAGGGTACCATAGACCTGTGTGGAAGAAGGCAAGTCCTCACTCTGCATTTGTCAGCAACAAGTCAGAGACACTTTTATTACGAGCAATTGCAAGGGAAGACTGCTGTCGGAGTGGGGGTCCCCCATCTTTAGGCAGATCTTCGCCAGATAAATAATTAGGGCAAGCATTCATACCTTTTGTTGCATACAATAATGATCAACAGCCACGTCTTGAATATACATGTTCCTTCCTGATATCTTACTTTTCTCAGCAGTTCCTGCTACAGTCTGTGTTCCTTTCTCATCTAACACAAGGTCAAAGCAGCATCTCTTACAGTTTTTCCCACTTGCCCAGGCCCTGCCTTAAAGTCTTGCGTTATTAGAGATAGAGTTAGCCTGACTCTTGCTCTTTTCCTAAGAAAACTAAGATGTCTGCGTCCAAATCCCTTTATCCCTTTTTCCACTTCCACACCTGTAACTCTGGCTTTCAGACTGGGAAAGATTTTAGAGTTACTGAACAGGGACAGGCATTAGGGCAACACTTGGAAAGGTTCAAACACGTTAAATTAGACATACTTTTCCAAAGGGGTGATCATGCTTGACAAATGTAATTAATTTTTTCAAGGAATTGACAATGAACTGATGGGGTGAACCAGCTGACACAGTGTAGTTGGACATAAAGAAGTCTTAAAAGATAACAAGTATTTCATAAAAAGAAAAGGAGTACTTGTGGCACCTTAGAGAATAAATTGGTTAGTCTCTAAGGTGCCACAAGTACTCCTTTTCTTTTTGCGAATACAGACTAACACGGCTGTTCCTCTGAAACCTGTCAAGTATTTCATAGGCAATTAAATATTTAATTTGAAATGTGTCCATAAACAAATGTTCTCTTGTTATGTCTGTGACGCTTCCTAAGAGTACCCAGGGTTGTGAAGTACCTCATGACCACCTGCCCTTAGCATGAGGTGTCCTTGATTGCCTGGTGAGGGTCAGCTCCCTAGCTGGTGTCACTGGCCACAGACAACACAAGCCCACCCCTCTAGGCCTACACAGGCCCCACTGTCTCTATACAGATTAGTACTAGGAACATTCCAACCCCTGAGCCCTCTGAGTGTCTAGACACCCCAGAGTGTTCAGCCCCTGTTGACACTCATGGCTTGTCTACACTTAAAGAGCTGTAAACGCTACATACACCAACAGGAGGGCTTCTCCTGTTGGCATAGAAATTCCACGACCCCAAGAGGTGGTAGCTATGTCAATGGGAGAAGCCCTCCCATCAGCATAACTCTGTCTACACCAGGAGTTAAGTTGGTATAACTGTGTCGCTCAGGGATGTGGATTTTCTACAGTTCTGAGCGACATAGTTATACTGACATAAGTTGCTAGTGTAGACTAAGCCTTATAGTAGTTACAGATTTGCTGCTTCCAAGAAGCAATGCACCCCAGCATACCAGTTACACCTCACACCACAGTCTAACTCACAACACTTAGATACGTTCATGGTGAAAACAAATAAAAGTTATAGATATAGAGATTCAAGTGATAACACGTAGATGTATTGGAAAAAATGATGACATGTAAAATAGAATCATAACACACATTCTAGAACCTAGAGTTACTTAACTAGATACTTTCTTGTCTTACAGAGCAATGCACACCCAAAGTCTTTCCAGCATTTTACAGCCAGGCTTGGCTGTGATCTTCTGTTCATGGGACAAGTCACACTCTCAGTTTGCCTTCTTGGTGAAAGATCCAGGGTACGGCTGTCAAGCGATTAAAAAAATTAATTGTGATTAATCATACTGTTAATAATAGAATACCATTTATTTAAATATTTTTGGATGTTTTCTACATTTTCAAATATATTCATTTCAATTACAACACAGAATACAAAGTGTACAGTGCTCACTTTATTTTTTATTACAAGTACTTACACTGTAAAAAAAAAAAATAGTATTTTTCAATTCACCTAATACAAGTACTGTAGTGCAATCTCTTTATCATGAAAGTTGAACTTACAAATGTAGAATTATGTACAATAAATAACTACATTCAAAAATAAAACAGTGTGAAGCTTTAGAGCCTGCAAGTCCACTCAGTCCTCCTTCTTGTTCAGCCAATCTCTCAGACAAACAAGTTTGTTTACATTTGCAGGAGATAATGCTGCCCACTTCTTGTTTACAATGTCACCTGAAATTGAGAACAGGCATTCTCATGGTACCATTGTAGCGGCATCGCAAGATATTTACGTTCCAGATGCACTAAAGATTCCTATATCCCTTCATGCTTCAACCACCATTCTAGGGGACATGCATCCATGCTGATGACGGGTTCTGCTCGATAACAGTCCAAAGCAGTGCAGATCGATGCATGTGCATTTTCATCGTCTCAGTTAGATGCTACCAGCAGAAGGTTGATTTTCTTTTTTGGTGGTTTGGGTTCTGTAGTTTCCTCATCGGAGTGTTGCTCTTTTAATATTTTTGAAAGCAAGCATCACACCTCATCACTCTCAGATTTTGGAAGGCACTCCAGATTCTTAAACCTTGAGTCCAGTACTGTAGCTATCTCAGATTAGTACCTTCTTTGCGTTTTGTCAAATCTGCAGTGAAAGTGTTCTTAAAATGAACAACGTGCTGGGTCATCATCCGAGACTGCTATAACAGGAAATATATGACAGAATGTGGGTAAAACAGAGCAGGGGACATAGAATTCTCCCCCCAAGGAGTTCGGTCACAAATTTAATTAACACGTTATTTTTTTTAACGAGCATCATCAGAATGGAAGCATGTCCTCTGGAATGGTGGCCGAAGCATGAAGGGGCATACGAATGTTTAGCGTATCTGGCATGTAAATACCTTGCAATGCTGGCTACAAAAGTGCCATGCAAATGCCTGTTCTCACTTTCTGGTGATATTGTAAATAAGAAGAGTGCAGTATTATCTCCTGTAAATGTAACAACAACAAAAATCTACATTTGTAAGTTGTACTTTCACCACACAAAGATTGCACAACAATACTTGTATGAGGTGAATTGAAAAATACTATTTGTTTTGTTTATCTTTTACAATGCAAATATATGTAATCAAGAATAATATACACTTTGATTTCAGTTACAACACAGAATACAAAATGTAGAAAAACATCCAAAATATTTAATAAATTTTAATTGGTATTCTATTGTTTAATAGTGCAATTTAAACTGTGAGTAATGGCAATTAATTTTTTATCGCGATTAATTTTTTTTTAGTTAATCGCATGAGTTAACTGACAGCCCTAATCCAGGGTTCCTGTTTGCACCGTATATATTTACAGACAATCCATTGTTGTTGTTCAGAAGCAGGACGCCCCCTGTAGGTTGTTTTTTCCCCCGTTATATTCCTTTCTTGTAGATTTTGCAATTTCTTAGTCAGCATTTGTCTCAGAGTGCAAGTAGGGTATGCACTGGGGGACACAATACACAATGGCCAGACAGGGAGATAATCTGATTACCTGCCTTAAGAACATAATTTTCAATATAGACACAACTGCTTAAATATTATCTCTACGTACATTTTGCAATTATTATCATGACCAATAGGCTGCTGGCTCTCAGTAAAGACCTCACATGCCACCCTTTAGTGAATTATTATGCATATATCCAAACCAGGGGATGCCAGTAAAACTCTACGCATCCCTGTGCTCTCTGCCAGTTGGCAGCAAGAGGGTTCCTGGGTTACAGTGTCATAAGCCAGGATTTGAACCCAAGTTGACAGAAGTGAAAGGTAATGCATAAACCTGTGGTATTTTTTAGGCAAGTATAGTAAGAAGGTTATGGGTAAGTAACTGATAACATACCCTACATGATTGATTCTCTACTTGCCCAAGCCATACCTCCTTGTCTACACTGCTGTTTTTAGCAGTGTAGTGTCCTGTTGCCTGCCCCCACACCCTGCGGGAGCCCTCCCCTGCTGTCTGCTTTCTGCCAGAGCCTTTCACTGACTTACGTAGCTGCACTCTGCAATATGGATGTACCCTGCCTTTCACTGCAGCGTGTAGCTACAAGTATGCTTAGGGTGGCCATACGTCCCATTTCGGCCGGGACAGTCCCATTTTTAAGCTCTGTCCTGGCCATCCTGACTCTTTTTTGACACAAATGGGCATCCCGTTTGCTCTTCCCAACCGATCAGTTGACAAGAACAAACAAACAAATGCCCAGTTTACCAAGAAAGTTGGGCACACCCCCCTGGAGGGGCACAGAGGAACGTTGGGTGGGGGGGCGGTGATGCAAAGTGGCAGTGGGGCTCAGGAGTCAGCTCCAGCCCCAGGCAGCATAGGGCTCAGCCCCAGCCACAGGTGGCGTGGAGCTTGGGGGTGGGCAGCCCCAGCCGCGGGTAGCATGGGACATGGAGCCTGGGAGGGGGGAAGGAGATTACAATCCCTTTATACATTTGGGGCAGTTAAGTTCCAATAGAACCCCCTTATATTCCTTTAGCAAATTTGACTAAATTGTCCATAGTCAAATGATTTCAATTAGACAATTTTTTTGTCTGGATTATTTACAGACATTCCTTTGGAAGAGGCCCATTTTACCTTCAGAATGGCTGCAAAGAAACCAAGAATTTTCTTTCTATAACACTTTTCCTTTTTAACACTGTTACAACGTTCAATTGCTTAATTCCCTCCAGCCTCTGCAGAGTTAACTTCTCACTCTCTTTCCTTAAATCACTTGCTTATCTCCCAAAATGACATGTCCATCAACTCAGATTTCACCATTCCAAGTACTGTTTCAGGAATCTGAATTCCCCATGTTTGCACTTACTCCTTTCACTATGCCCTCAGGGCTTCCAACCTGTTTTCCAATTTTTTTATCTGTTGCCTGCCTGCTTGTCTGGGCCCGATCCTGTTTTTCTCACTGCGCCGTCCCTTTCCTTGGGCACAGGGTTTGTTCCACTACTAATTTAGCAAGGAGGGTGGGCTCCTTAATTAGCTCCCACCCCTCCTGGTCCTTTTCCTTAAACATTTCTTTCAAAATTGTGAAATCACCACAATATCACTCACAAGAAATACTACACTGCCCGAACTCCTATATCCTTCCGAGTTTGGTTTAACAGAGAAAGATCTGTTTAAAAGGAGTAATCTGTTGAACAAAGTATCATCTTTGGATTGCTTCCTTTTAAACATTTCGTACACAGGTGCTACCACTATTTGCCCACACTCCTATATCCTTCAGAGTTGGGTCTCATATAGAAAATACTGCCAGAACATATTTCTTTATGAATCTCTTTTACCTTTGTAACTCTTTTGTTACAATCCGTTAGTACAGCTCTTAAGGTTTTTCTAGTCACTTGAAATTTCACGTTGCCCACGCCAACACTGGGATTTACAATGTTCACCCCCCTGGGCTGGAGGGAGAGATGCTAAGCCTCCCTCCGTATTACTCAGTCCTCTACCGCCGAGGGTCCATACACCAAATCCAAAACCCTTCTTGGGCAGAGCGAGAAACCCTAAATTCTCCTCTTATGCTCAGTCATGCTACGACTGAGGGTGTATGCACCGAGGATTTTTCCTTGCTCTTCGAGCGAGGGTCTCTAAACCCCCCTCCTATTGCCCAGCACGTCTACGGCCAGGGGTAGTAGACTCACCTGCACCCTTCCCCTGCTGACCGGGGTGGAGAGAGGAATGCTGAACTGCCCTCCATTTCTCAGTCATGCTATGACTGAGGGTGGGGCACACCTTTAATCCTAAAATCCTCAACATGAAATACCAACCGTGCCGGGCCAGAGCAAACATGAAATACCAAGGGCAGACCAGTTGGTGAGCTCCATAGCTCCTGCCCCCACCGCGCACCATTCTCCACCAAAAATGTGACAGATTTATGTTACCAATCTGCCTGGGGCGTCAGGTGATCAGGCTGAGGCCACAGGATCGTTAGGGGAAGAGATGAAGGAGCACACCAAGTGACTAAGTTTTATTAATAAAATAACAGTGGTGAGTGCTGGGGCTCCCCATGTCACTCAGGGGAAGAAAGAAAGCGTTATTGCCTGCGCCCTAACCCACTTTCATACTCTCACACGCCCTACCTGAGGCTGGCCAAGCCTGGGTGTAACATCAAAAGAATAGGGGGAAGGGTGGACGAGAGTTCTGTCCTGTGCACAGGCCGCCCAGGGTCTGTTGTTGAGCTCCAGTTTGCTTCAGCTCTCAGGAGGGTTTTAAGTCCTGGAGTCTTTTGGGGGCATTCCGTTTAGGGATCTCTGTCACCTGTACTCTTTGTACCAGTCTAAACCAGCCTTCCGTGGCTTCCTGAGCTTTCCCAAAACACACCAGCTTCAGGGACGCAACACTGTGGTTTTCCTCCTTGCTGGCCTTCACTGTCTCACTAGTTTTCGCAGCTCGTGCAGTTCTGTTCAGCTGAATCCTCCTTTCTCACGGCTGGTCAGGGTTGGAATCCAGGCCCCCGTCTTTCTTGGCAGGCAGCCGAGAGTCAGTTGTGTGCTATAGCCTTGGGCTGGAGTCAGCGTCTTATCTTGGGACCTAGCTGGAGCGTCAAGTTAACCCATTCCCTTCTCCTTTCCTCCCTCTACAGCCTCTTGTAACCTGCAAAGGAACCTTTCACTCCACACTCACACCTGCAACCCTTCCCACAATACATTTTACCACATATACAAGCGCTAGCAACATACAATGCTAAACTGCTTACCCAGGGATCCCCATGGGGGGGGGGGACAGTTATATTGTGACACTTGGGGGGGGTGTCCCGTTTTTATTTTAGGAAATATGGTCACCTTACGTATGCTGCATGCCGCTGTCAGTGATGCGTAGTATAGACATAGCCCAAGATGACTGAATGGACCTATATGTGCTTAAAACAGATTTGGGAGAAAGTGAGTTTTAGGAACTTGTGAGTGTAAGAGGATTAATTTTATATTACAGTGAGATAACTGGAAAGAGCTTTTTCTTATGGTATTTGAAGAAAATGTTTTTTTTCTTCAACAGTCCAGATGCCAAAGGAAAATGCTGATCTACACGTTATGTACAGTAATTATTTATTATTTGTGTTACAGTAGCCCCAAAACATGCTAGGCACTGTCTAAACAAATAAGGTACCACGCTTCTTACTCTGAAGATCTTATAATCTAGAAAGACAAAAATAATAAACATGCAAGCAAATACATGTCTTGTTAGTTACTCTTTTAAAATATGCCACCATATAATCATGCAATTGGGAAATGAAGTACAGTTACTGCTGTGCAATCTTGAAGTCTGATTATTGTTAAGTCACTGTAGCTGGAAGAAGACAGCACATATATATCCAAAAATGTGTTTACATTTCTTTCCCATTGTGTGCCATAACCATCATATATTTTTACAGGGATCTTAATGAAAGACCATAAGAGATATTTTATATACATTTGACTTGGATTCCTTATGTTAACATTCCTTCTGTTATTTTCTGTCCAGGATACATTTATTTTTCAGTTCTTATGAGCTCTGTAACTAGTTCCAGGGAGTTTCCCGTTCTAATAACATGTATGGGAACTTTTTTGTAAACAGTACAACATTCTGTAAAAATCCTGAACTAAAATGCCTTTTTATTGTACAGATACAGGGTCGTGGTCTCCTATCCCCCTCAGAGTGAAGCAGAACTTGAACTTAAGGAAGGGGACATTGTTTTTGTACACAAAAAACGTGAGGATGGCTGGTTCAAAGGCACACTGCAACGAAATGGAAAAACTGGCCTTTTCCCTGGCAGCTTTGTAGAAAACATCTGAGAAGATCCTTTTCAACAGATGCAAATCACACTACACTATAAAATAGCACAAATATATTAGCAGAAAGAGTGCAGTCATGGAAGTCTTTCAAATGACAGTAATATAAAAAAATATATATTTCTCCAGTGTTCTATAGCACAATTGAAAGCAAACAAAGATGATGAAGGCATCTGCTATTTTTATCCCATTGGATTCTTAAGTGTAATGTGTGCCTTGTACTGTCTCATTTATTATACAGGGGAACTCTTTTTCCTTCAAAGATGTTACACAAACGAACAATTGTTTACAAGGCTGTAACTAATTTATTCTTTCTTTAAAACTTGAATTTTGTGTAATCGCTAAATTCTTGTGATTTATGATTTTAACAAATTATTAATTTATGAAATGTTAGCTAAGGGGAAGCTGGATTCTCTCCTTTTGAGTGAGTGATTATCTCTAACATAGAGCCTCCCATTTTTCCTCCTGACTTTTTCCCCCACTGTGTATGACAGTGGAATTAGTCTTTGTTTTATGGGTTAATGTTGAGTTGTGGTGATGATGTGATGTCAAACTGAAATTGCAAACTGGGAAAAAATGGAATTGTGTGGTTTTTTTCCTTAGGACAGAATATATCAGTTGTTCTTGAGTCTAATTCTGCTTCTTAATAACTGCCCAAGCAGTGTAACATTTCTGGAAGGCAAAGGCATAACAGTGCAACTGAATAAACCTCAATAGTCTGAAGGATGGGAAGGAAGAAATTGAGAGGATGCCAATAAGAAATTCCCTGTAGCTTCTGTTTGTTCAAGAATTTGGATAGCTGAACAAAGTTTAACTTTGCATATTTGGCTAGTTCTTTGAGCATTTAGTACTCTCAGGATATAACTGAGATAAAAAGAATGTTAAAGCACAACAGTAGAACAAATTGAAAGCTTATGCTCAAATAAATTTGTTAGTCTCTAAAGTGCCACAAGTACTCCTTTTCTTTTTGCGAATACAGACTAACACAGCTGCTACTCTGAAACTTCTAGTTTGATAACAGCAACTTATTTCCTAGGGTTGAAAACTTGAGTAAAATTCAAGTTGTATTCAATGTCTAAAAATGCCTAAGAAATTTAATTTGCTTTGTTTTCTTTTCAAAGTGATTTGCATGGCCAGGAGACGTTTTAAAATGTTTGAGCAATAGTGATGGTAAGTGATGCACTTGTGTTAAAGTAAAAAGTTGTGAAGAGACACTGTGAAAACTTCGCTAAATTTTTAACCGTTGCTACTTTGATACATTCTGACTTTTTCATTGTCTTGCATGTATTACTGAAATCTCACAGTAATGTAAACTGTGCATGGTTTGTATTTTTCATTCCAATTTCCTGTTGTGGGTTATTTTGCTCTGGAATTTGCCCATTGCAGGGGATATTAAGTAAACCAGAATTCTGTTGTAGTCCAAAATCCACTGACCAAGACTAGTGAGTGACTCACTCTCAATACAGTAAGTATCCAGTGTTTGAGTCAGTAATAAAACATTTTTAAATCACTCCAGGTGATAGGTGTAAAGAAGACATCCTGCAAGAAGAACACTACTTTTACTCTTTGCGGGTTTTGTGAGAGGTTTGATGCTGGGGAACCCACAGCATCCAGCCGAGCTTGTCTTTTTTACGTTGCTTAATTATAATGATTTCATTGCTTTCACTTGCAAGGTACTAAGCACCATCAATTCCCATAAAAGTCAATGGAAGTTGAGGATGTTCAGCATCTCACAAAGTGGGGCCAGTAGTGTGATTGTAATGTTGTGCAACACACAGAAAGAGGAATATACTAGCTGGTGATGAATTAAGTCATTGGCATAACTTCTGATTAAAATGCAGCTGAAAATTTAATTTTAAGAATTACAAATGGAAGAATAATAAACATTAACCATAAGGATTTCTTGCAATATCAGGTAGTGTCATGATGGTCTTAAAAATAAATATCTATAAATATATATAGCTGGAAAGGACATCATTCCTAAGCTAACCATCTGTATGAAACACTGTACAATTCAGTTCTTCTGCTTTTAAAATATTTTTAAATAATTTACTTGAATATTCATGTAATATATTAAGGTTTTGTGAAATGAACTTTAGTTAGAAAGAAGCTGTCATCAGCTTTCATCAGCATAAATTGACACTAATGTGTCAAAATATTCTTATTTTGGGAAATTAGTGCATTTTATATTTTAAAAAAAGACTACTAAAGGTTTAAAAAAAACATTTTTTTCTAGCTCTCTACTCTCCATACTTTGTGACTAAAGTACCTCTATTCATAAGGTTTCAAGGTGTAAAGTCAGTTAAAATATCAGCTGTTAATAGTTCTGTTAGATTAAATACATTTTCTATTGACTTTTTAAAGACACTAAATTAATGTTTTGTAACAAGGGCTTGTTACACAGCAGTGCAACAACGATTTAAAATGCAGTTTATCATGCCTTTCTTGTGATCTTTGTAGGGTTGGTTTTTGTTTTTTTGGGATTAAGTCAGTGTAAAAACAGACAAACCCTGTGCATTTGTTTTATGTAATTCCATAAAGAATTTTTGTAAAATATTTTATGTCTATCTTTGTGGTCCAGGAAATGTTAAGTATTGATTTATTGTGTTAAGCTCCTATTCCTAATAAATATTTTCTTAGCAAACATCTTAAGCAGAAAGCGTATGCAAAAATTAATAGAAATTACTTATAACAAGTTTACAAATAAAACTAACAAAACTTAATTTCAGAATTCACAGGAGGATGTGTGTGTTTATAAAGAAAAAAAATATTCAAATACCATAAGATGCATTTCAAGGGGAAGGTCAGAAAAATATAATGTAGTAAGCAGCAGGGAGGACTAGATGACCTGACTGATCTTTTCCATATCAATGATTCTGTGAGCAATCTTACCACAAAAAGATTTCCATGCCAAGCTGAACATGTCTAATTACATCGGTTTAGGACTGGCAGAGTATCATCAGGTACATATGAATAATAAAGTGTTTCCCTGGAAGGATAAGTGTCTGGTACATTTGGATAGTTATTTTCAGATTACAACAGCAGGAATTCTTTTGGACTTTATTGCAAAATTCAGTGTCTAAAACCACAAGAAAAGAGGAGGTTAACATTGTTTTGTGTATGTGTGAATGAGGGAGGTCAGACCAGCATATCTCTCCATTTTAGAAGCATTTGAAGAAATTATGTACCCAAATCATACTGACAAAATAACGTAATTTATCTGCTTTGTTATGAATTTATCACCACAATGTTATTACAGAGAAGTGAATGTTGTTTACAGTCAGGGCAATATTAATCACTGGTGTAAATAGGTGCAACTCAGTGAAATCAATGCACACTCTTCACCAGTAGTCTATTCAGCTCTGAGTGTCTTAATCTGACCTTATACACGCACTTTCTAATTTTGTCTGTAAATATCCCCCCACCCAACTTGACAAATGTTTACCTTGCATGCTGTTCTGCCCTTTGGACATTGAAAATGTACAGATAATTACAAACATGGGATGGAATTTCAACCCATATTTAATAGTTACTGCTAATTCTGCTTACATGACTCAATAGCCATACAACTCTTAAAATGTAATATACACTTTAGGCCGATGGAGAGGGATTGTTTTATATTCAGGGTAGACAGGAAAGGAGTATGTTTTAATGTAAAATGGCAAGAGACTGGTTGAGAAAAGGGAGAGAAGGAATGAGTAGAGAAGAGGGAAGAGAGGCAAGATGGGATGGTTTTGCCACAAATGGGAAGGGGCTAGAAGAGAACATGAGATGGGGACCCCAGTTTTAGGGATGGCTTGAAGGACAAGAAGGTAAAGGGAAGGGGAGATCCTATTTTATGGTATGCATTTTCTTGAACAAAGTGCAATACAAACCCACTGTCTGGCTGTGATGTAGCATGAAGCTTTACACTGAGATGTCTTCTCTCGATGCCACAGAATAACAATATGCCTGCCCTACCTTTGACTGCAGCAATAACTGTATCATAATCTACAATGGTCTGATGCTTTTGTATAAGCATTTTTTGTTTTCCTTTTCTTTTATGCAGAGTAGTCTCAGGATGACCAAATTGCCTTGCCTAATGTCAAACAGTTCACTTTGACTTCACTCATGATGAGTGCTCCTTTTTACCTTTGAGGGTTTCAGAGTGCTGTTCTGAGATATTTGGATATTGCTTCCCATGTAAGTACCATGATCCATATGGGAGCTGTACTACATAGGGTACTGTCTTTCTGTTTGATTTCTTTGCATTGGAACCAAATTGAGATATTGTCTATTCTTTTTATTATATATTGATTAGTCTTAGAAAAACAAGTTCCTTTCTCCCTGGTGCGTTTGATAAGTTACTGTGGATCCCCACCATATTTGCATAATTTGAACATGAGAGGCAAATTATACCACATTAGTTCAAACGATAAATAAACCAAACGAATTGGGGCATGCAATAAGTGGGCACAGACTAGGGTTTGTGTTTGGTTTGTGTGTTGTAATCAACTCCAGCCATGGCCTCTATTTTTTTAATAAAGAAAAAAGTCCTCAATTTATATCACCAAAAAGGGTATGTCTACACTACAAAATTAGGTTGAATTTATAGAAGTCGGTTTTGTAGAAAGCGTTTTTATACAGTCAATTTTGTGTGTCCCCACACAAATGCTCTAAGTGCATGTAGTCGGCGGAGTGTGTCCGCAGTACCGAGGCAACAGTCGACTTCCGGAGCATTGCACTGTGGGTAGCTATCCCACAGTTCCCGCAGTCTCCACCTCCCATTTGAATTCTGGGTAGAAATCCCAGTGCCTGATGGGGCTAAAACATTGTCGCAGGTGCTTCTGGGTACATATCATCAGGCCCTCCTTCCCTCCCTCCTTCCATGAAAGCAAGGGCAGACAATCGTTTTGCACCTTTTTTCTTGAGTTACCTGTGCAGACGCCATACCACAGCAAGCATGGAGCCCGCTTAGCTAACTGTCACCGTATGTCTCCTGCATGCTGGCAGACGCGGTACTGCATTGCTACACAGCAGCAGTTTATTGCCTTTTGGCGGCAGACAGTGCAGTATGACTGGTAGCCGTCGTCGACGTAGTCCTGGGTGCTCTTTTAACCGACCTCGATGAGGTCAGGGGCGCCTGAGCAAACATGGGAGTGACTCAGCCAGGTCATTTCCCTTTTAAGTTTCGTCTCATGGCGATCGAGTCCTACCGGCAGTGCACTGTCTTTTAATCAGCAGTCAGCAGAAGACGATGGCTAGTAGTCATACTGCACCATCTTCTGCCGAGCACCCAGGAGATGACGATGGCTAGCGGTCGTACTGCACAGTCTGCTGCCAGCAAGATGTATAAAGATAGATGAAGTGGCTCAAAACAAGAAATAGACCAGATCTGTTTTGTATTCATTTTCTCCTCCCTCGCTTCGTGAAATCAACAGCCCGCTAAACCCAGTTTAGAGTTCTATCCTTGAGGTTTTGAGTTCTGTCCTTGAGGGGGGCCATTCAGTTTCTTGCAAAGCCACCCCCTTTGTTGATTTTAATTCCCTGTAAGCCAACCTTTTAAGCCATGTCATCAGTCGCCCCTCCTTCCATCAGGGTAATGCAGACAGTCGTTCCGCGCCTTTTTTCTGTGCAGACGCCATACCACGGCAAGCATGGAGCCCACTCAGATAACTTTGGCAGTTAGGAGCACATTAAACACCACGTGCATTATCCAGCAGTATATGCAACACCAGAACCTGGCAAAGCGAAACTGGGCAAGTAGGCGACATCAGCGTGGTGACGAGAGTGATGAGGACATGGACACAGACTTCTCTCAAAGCATGGGCCCTGGCAATGTGGGCATCATGGTGCTAATGGGGCAGGTTCGTGTGGTGGAACGCCGATTCTGGGCTCGGGAAACAAGCACAGACTGGTGGGACTGCATAGTGTTGCAGGTCTGGGACGATTCCCAGTGGCTGCGAAACTTTTGCATGCATAAGGGCACTTTCATGGAACTTTGTGACTTGCTTTCCTCTGCCCTGAGGCGCAATAATACCAAGATGAGAGCAGCCCTCACAGTTGAGAAGCGAGTGGCAATAGCCCTGTGGAAGCTTGCAACGCCAGACAGCTACCGGTCAGTCGGGAATCAATTTGGAGTGGGCAAATCTACTGTAGGGGCTGCTGTGATGCAAGTAGCCAGCGCAATCAAAGATCTGCTGATATCAAGGGTAGTGACCCTGGGAAATGTGCAGGTCATAGTGGATGGCTTTGCTGCAGTGGGATTCCCTAACTGTGGTGGGGCTATAGACGGAACCCATATCCCTATCTTGACACCGGAGCACCAAGCCGGCGAGTACATAAACCGCAAGGGGTACTTTTCAATAGTGCTGCAAGCACTGGTGGATCACAAGGGACGTTTCACCAGCATCAACATGGGATGGCCGGGAAAAGTACATGATACTGGCATCTTCAGGAACTCTGGTCTGTTTCAAAAGCTGCAGGAAGGGATTTTATTCCCAGGCCAGAAAATAACCGTTGGGGATGTTGAAATGCCTATAGTTATCCTTGGGGACCCAGCCTACCCCTTAATGCCATGGCTTATGAAGCCATATACAGGCATCCTGGACAGTGGTCAGGAGCTGTTCAACTACAGGCTGAGCAAGTGCAGAATGGTGGTAGAATATGCATTTGGACGTTTAAAAGCACGCTGGCGCAGTTTACTGACTCGCTTAGACCTCAGCGAAACCAATATTCCCACTGTTATTACTGCTTGCTGTGTGCTCCACAATATCTGTGAGAGTAAGGGGGAGACATTTATGGTGGGGTGGGAGGTTGAGGCAAATCGCCTGGCTGCTGGTTACACACAGCCAGACACCAGGGCGGTTAGAAGAGCACAGGAGGGCACGGTGCGCATCAGAGAAGCTTTGAAAACCAGTTTCATGACTGGCCAGGCTACGGTGTGAAAGTTCTGTTTGTTTCTCCTTGATGAAACCCCCCCGCCCCTTGGTTCACTCTACTTCCCTGTAAGCTACCCACCCTCCCCTCCTCTCTTCGATCACAGCTTGCAGAAGCAATAAAGTCATTGTTGCTTCACATTCATGCATTTTTTATTAATTTATCACACAATTAGGGGGATAACTACCAAGGTAGCCCAAGAGGGGTGGTAGAGGAGAGAAGCACCAGGAGGGGTGGTGGAGGAGGGAAGGACAAGGCCACATAGCACTTTAAAAGTTTAAAACTTTAAAACTTATTGAATGCCAGCCTTCTGTTGCTTGGGCAATCCTGGGGTGGAGTGGCTGGAGGCCCCTCCCACCGTGTTCTTGGGCATCTGGGTGAGGAGGCTATGGAACTTGGGGAGGAAGGCGGTTGGTTACACAGGGGCTGTAGCGGCGGTCTGTGCTCCTGCTGCCTTTCCTGCAGCTCATCCATACGCTGGAGCATATTAGTTTGATCCTCCAGCAGCCTCAGCATTGAGTCCTGCCTCCCCTCATCACGCTGCCGCCACCTTTCAGCTTCAGCCCTCTCTTCAGCCCGCCACCTCTCCTCCCGGTCATTTTGTGCTTTCCTGCACTCTGACATTGTCTGCCTCCACGCATTCATCTGTGCTCTGTCAGTGTGGGAGGACAGTATGAGCTCAGAGAACATTTCATCGCGAGTGCGTTTTTTTCGCCTTCTGATGTTCAC